AAAGAAGAAGAAGAAAAAAGGGGGGGAGATCAAACAACAACAAAAATTATACATATATAAAAACAAAACAAAACATTGATTTAATGGCACTGTGGTTCTGATTCAGCAGCCCCAATACAAATACTAAAAACTGAATGAGAAAATGTCAAATCAAAGTTAAATATCCATTACCATTTAAAAAAATAAAATAAAATAAAAAAATATCCCTGACTCACTGCTTTGGGTCAGCCAGCTAGACTTTTGTTGCCTGTGAATCCCCTGCTCTACAGAACAGATGACACATAGATTACTCAAAAGGAAAAGTACTCAGTAGCTGCAGTCATAAATCCGACTCGTATATAAAGACACACAATGCACTGAATGCACCACATAAAAACGAATCGCTCATCGAGCAAAATTATCTCAAACTTATCTACCCGACTCGTGCAATGCATCATGTACGATTTGTTCTTCATCTTTTTGTTTACAGAAATGTCTTCGCCCAGGGTTTGGTCCACTGGGCACATCAGAGTTTGGACATGTCCATCATTGGTGGGTTTTATTTTGCCAATTTACTTCTCTGCCTCTTTTGAACATGTCAGTGAATTACAGACTTGTACAGGGTAACCGTCTGAAGATGAGGTCTCCTTGGGTGGCTGTAGCTCAAGTGGTAGAACAGGCCATCTACTAATCGGAAGGTTGCTGGTTTGATCCCTGGCAACTAACCCCAAGTTGCTCTCTGATGCAACTATCAGGGTGCGAATGTTCGATAGAAAGCACTATAAAAGGGAAAAAAAAAAAAAAAAAAAAAAAAAAGTACTTATGAATGGGGCACATTGCATAAAGTGCTTTGAGTCCTCAGGTAGAGCAGAAAAGGGCTATGTAAGAACCAGTCCATTTACCATTCCTTTTTGTTGTATCGGAAGAGTTATACACAGATGTTTCTCTAGATTCTTAATAGTATGATTAGCAAATCTAAACAGTGGAGACCTGACATTGTAAGTTAAAAGGTAAGACAAACCATCGCTGTGGAAGTTTCCATTAAACTGTCAAGACTCATAAGAAATCCACAAGAAGCTAGCTGCCTACTGCTAGCGAGCATCATTATCTGAAATAACCCAATGTTATAGGTTGTGCATCCTGAAAATTGAACAGTATATGAAGTAACCCATATGTGAAAAACGGGATAATCTTACACAACCACAATGGCGCTCTGGGTTCAGCATCTTGCCCAAAGAGACGTCAGCATGTGACCTAAATGAGTGTGGTTTGACTCACTAACCTTCTGATTAGCAGAAGTTCCTGTGAACCACGTTATCCCCAGCTTTTAATGTGAAGGATTTTTTTTGGTCCCAATTTTCACCCATATCACCTAATTTACAGGATCAGGATGGGACACGCAGTGATAACTATATCTAATGATGGATGTTGGACTGATGGGTAATTTTAACCTATAAACTGCAATTAATGCAGACACCTTCATGAGAACATGCTCTCGTGTCACATAAAAATTGTGGGTTGGTTAAGGGAGAGGTTGTATGGATGCCATAGAGCGAGCAGCATGAGTGAAGGCGAAATAAAAACAACCATCATCAGCGCTATAAAACCTGCCCAGCTGCAGTCTTTGATCCTCCCCTCCAGCTCCCCTGCTTAATTTGAACACCTGCACACACCGAGCCACACGCACAGCCCCGCTGCTCACACACGCCACGCCTGGCCACACATCGCTCACACAGCAAATCTCACTTCCCCATCAGCTGTAGGCAGAAGCAGCAAACAGATTTGTTTGTTTTCTCTCTGAAGGAATGGCTTCATTTTAATCAATGAGCAGTGATGTTATGCCGTCGGGGCAGCGCAGAACATGAGCGCGTCTTTATTTTAGTTATCACTTATGGTTATAGCTAACCTTTCAAAGATCATTAGCACAATGCCAAGGACTGAACAGATGTGGGCGTTTCATGTCATTTACTCTTAAGGTTTCATATGCAACTGGATGCCTCCTGAAGCCTGTGCCTAAAACGGTCAATTCAATTAGAGCTACAATGAGGGATCATTTTCACCAACAACTATTCTACTGATTTAATAAAAGACATCTGTGAAAACATCTCATCGGTTTTATAAATCTATAAATGTCTTTGTCTCTGTGTGTCAAACAGCTCAAAATACCCAAAAGACATTTGAACCACAGACTTCTAGAACAAAAAGCATTTCCACCCATTCCCTTAAAACCAAAACACAGTTCTGGCAATGCGTTCACTGCTTCAATAAACTGGGTGCCTGCTGCATCTTTGTTAAGACAAAATCATTAGAAAAAGGTTATCATTCATTTTTTTTTGTCCTTTCCACACTAACCTTGAGTGCACACAGAGGAAGTTAATGTTGGTAACGATCGGTAATCCATCTTGTGAATTTCTCTTTGATAAATCAAACCCAGGTTTTCATAGGATGCCAGCAGCCCAGCATGTGCACATTAGGACACAGGTAATGGTGGAATTCCTTAGCAGCATAAGATGGCTGCCATAGTTCTTCCTGCAGAACATGTGCGAGGTCAGGGCTGATGCCTTTTTAAGCAGGATAGTGGATCTAATGTTGGGCTGTATTTACTCACCTATTCTCAAAAACACCAAACATATATACCATGTTGTGGAACAAAAGAGGGGGGAAGGGGGGGGGGGGGGGGGGGGTTAATAAGAGGGATAACTGATTTAAGTGAAAACCTGGAACATCTGTTTTTCATTCAGTTCATGTTTCAGACTTCAGAGACCTCAAGGCTTTACTCAGCATCTTTCCAGCTAACTTTATTAAGCCTGCTTTGTTAGATAGACCCACGCTCTGCCTTTTTTCCTGTCTAGATGCTGCGTCAAGACTACCTCATCAATCTAGCTCTGGTCAGACAAAACGGTCCATTTTCCTTCCATAAAACATCATAAAATCTTTTAAGTTGCTGAGACAGGCCGAACCATGCAGAACCTCATCTCCAGGGTGCAGTTTTGTAACTACATGGGTGTAATTGCTTTGTCTGGGTTTCTTGTTATTCACAGGCAATACATAGTTAAAGGATTAAATGTGTAGGATTACTCACTAGTCTTCATGCTGTGATTCAGAGCGAGAATAACATTCCTAGTCACGGCCAGTAATACCATATGGTGCAGTGCGGAATATTGTTCCCTGAAAACGAGGTGAGGCTACACGGACTGAAACATCTGCTTGTTCCTCAATCATTTTCTAAACCAGTCAAAATTAACATTTTTAAAAAATTGTATATTTATAAAAACAAAAGTAATACAAATGCACACTGGCATTTAAAAAGGAGACAAATGGGTCACTACCTACGAGCTTACCTCAGTCCCAACTCTGTCAGTTCGTTAGTGTTTTTAAAATCACGTGAAACTTTATTAAAATTTACGCGACATTGCAAAAAAAAAGTATTATTTACATGTATAATTTGAATTGATTTGAGTTAACAACTTAACAATTTCCCAGCCTAATTAAATATTGTTTAAATAATGTTTATTTTACAAATATATCCACTAGTTTTCACTTTCTTGGGGTGAAATAATAGATCCAACGTAACACAGCTCTGTCACATATACTTAAAGTTACTTGTTATGATTGTTTCATACAGAACAAAACAATTTTGAAGCTTGAAAAATCCATTTCCCCGAGACATGTTGGCCACATTTCCTTTCCGAGAAGAAATAAAAATAATAAAAACTTTATAGGGACTCATTACTATTCCATACAGACGTATAAAACAATTTAAAAGGAGGTTATTTATTTATTTAGATACTTTTCACAAGCTGCAGTATTACATCTGTGGTTTTATTTCATACATGGGTACTGGCTCTATGTTGACTTTAAAGCTTATTACCCTAGCGTGACACCTGTTGAGCCATTTTCCCCTCCTATTGGGTTAGCTGTTAATCACCGATACATGACAACAATTCAGCTTTTGAACAGTAGTCAAGACAAAGAAAACACTCCTTCATGCTGAAAGACTAAATTAACCTTTCCCCTCTTTTTCTTTTGCAAGGGGAGGGTGTGATGGAGTTAAAGGATAACTTTGTTAATTGGCTTCCATCGAGTCCAAACAGGAAGTCATTAAAAAGTGCCTGAAGATTACAGGAAATAATTATCTGTAAGTTGCTGGCCATATCTTCTGAGTTTGAAAACTATGAGCATTGTAAAATCTTCATTTTATATATCAGTACCAAGTTTAGGAATATGCACAAAAATCTGCTCATTATTCAGTGTTTTCACCTTTGTCTTGTTTACTTAGATTCTTTAATATCGTCATCAATAAAAACTATAGACGTTATGAGGCGTTTCCTGCTTTAGGGGAGGTTTGTATGTTTGCATACTGCAGTTTTAGCCTACAGTCCCAACTAGCTCACTACCTAGCTCTAAGAAAACTAAAACCAGTTTTTTAAGACTATTTAAAAATCAGATTTCTTGGAAGAAATTCATGCTTCTTGTAGAACCCATCTCATAACAATGATCATGTAAAAAAACGCACTGGCAGGACAGGTAATACATAATGCTTCCATCACACCATAACAATACAGTCACACAATGGGCCAAAGAACAGAAAACCGGTTTTAACTGGAAACATCAACAATGTGAAGAAATCAGAGTGCTTGTCTTCCGATGACGAAGTTTGCTCTCAGACTGCTGAGCCAACAGCAAGCCAGAAAACAATGGCTTTAAAAATAATCACTAAAATCATCAAGAAACTCTCAGAAATGATTTCATAAATGTTTAGAGAATATAATAACAGAATTTACCAAATCAGAAATTAGACATAACAAGGGCACACTGTGCTCATAGCTGCAAGCCCACCTTCTTTCTTCAGGAATTAGATAAGCCCTATATTTAGATAATCAAATTGAGGTTTGTTTAAATTTCATATGAACTGTTTATAACCCCTAATCAAGAGTACTTCAGGTTTTTGACACTCCGATATGAAAACAATGCAACAGCAAATGCAGGAAAAGAAAAAGAAAATGCAGCTTATTACTTACGTGTCCATAGTTGATGAATCCATGTTTGCTAGCAATTTGATCAGCCTCCTCCTGACCTCCAGGTACGTGGACAGCCCATGTGTTGGTGTAGACCTTCTGACCCTGTACCGGTCCACAAACCAGCAACACCAACAGAGGCACAAGCAGCAACTCCAGCAGCCTGAACCTGCGGCCTACGGAGGGAGATGGATGGCCAGTAGCCATGGGTTCCCCTAGTGCAGCACAGTCACTGAGCACAGCGCCTCTCCAACAGGCCGGGGCTGCTCACAGTACATGCAGGTGCACGGAGCGTCAGAGAAAAGGGAAGTCACAAATCACCTGAAAAGAAAAGGCAAAAAAATAACAAAAGGTACAGTATTAAAACAAGATACCGTAAGGTTTTAAACTAACAAAAGATTTAAAGATTTAAAATCAAATTTCCACAGAACACAAGAACAAACACACGCAAGGGAAAGAGGGGAAAGTAAACAGTTTAATTTTAACCTTATCGCCTTCCTTTATTTGGTGGATTAAGGAACATAAAGGGGAACAAGAAAGAGATAGGCTTGGTGTGGAAGTTTACAGATTTTAATAAATTACACTGTAAAGTGACTGCAGAGGTGTTGCAAAGAAAACTGACCACATTAAATATATTAATCTGTTTTGTTCATCCACCCCAACAGGAGTTCTGACCACGCACGTTGCAGCCCAGCTAAACACAGCCATTTGATAATCCCACAGGAAGAGCCGGACGCCCAGCCCCAAAATGATGTTGCGGTCAGACACGCAGCGGCAAATTGTGGTGTTCACGCTCTCCTGGGAGGATACAGTAGATGCAGTTTACAAAAAAATAAATAAATAAATGCTGAGGTATACCGAGTTGGCAGCAGAGGTGGAGAAATGTGGTTGGAAAGCTAGACTACGCCCCAGATGCTGGGGGAATCACAGCAGAGGCAGTTTTGGTATGAGGTGCAGGATCAGCTTGAGGGACGAGTTTGAATGCCTGAAGGTAGCAGCAGCAGCCACCGAATGGCTGAGGCCAAGGACAGAACATCAAGTGTTAGAGGAGAAAGAAAAAAAGTTTCCGATTTGAGTGATGCCATTTCTTTGTAAAATGCTAACTGATGTGTTATCAGCCACTCATTGGAAAACATCTAACACAATCTTATGAATGAGACAAAGCAATTTATCTTATCAAGCCACAGCAGCCAGTGCGAGCCGAGAGATCTCAGCTTGCGGTGATTGTTTGCTGATACAATTTTGCGTCTGAGCTGTTGTTTAGAGTCAAGGTCAGCTGTGGCTGTTGAGACCATTATCCAAAGTGCTAACTCTGTTGTAATCTTAAGCTCACTATGCTGCACTAAAAGTGCTTCCATTCGGCCTTTTCATCGCATCTGTTCTACTGTGGGATGGAGCTTTCCATCCTTTCACGGGTGTTACAGCCTCTGTGTTAGCCATTCGACAAATTAAAAGACTTGAAATTATCTCGCACTCCGAATGAACAAACAAGCGCTTCGAGATTTCCCTGAGTAGTTTGTTGTGAGGCACGCATGATGTGTTAAGAGGTGGAAGGAAAATTTAGCTGTGAACTTAGGAGTCACTTTTAGTGCATAGTGTTACCAAAGACAGATTAATATCCCACCAATCCATTCATCACAACAACAGCACACAAAACAAACATCTTTACTATATGAATATTACATATATTTACATTATCTTTGAGGTGCAGTAGGAAGCAATCTAAGTAGGAATGTTTCATCCCTGTCCTGTACCCTGTCCTTTTTCCTCCAATTCTTCCCAGGAAGACACTGCAGCATTCCCAAGCCAGGCAAGAGACAACATAATTTCTCCATCAAGTTCTGGGTCTGCCCTGGAGGTCTTGTTTCAGCTGGATATGTCAAAAATATCTCACTTGGGAGACATCCAAGGCACATGTTCAAATCAGCTCAAGTGGCCCGACACTGGTTGTCAACTTCTCTTAGAATTCCAGGATTTTACACCAGAAAACCCCATTAATCAACAGATACGTGACCAAACTTTGTGTATCACTTAGAACTTGATACATGAGCCATCAAAAACAGCCTGATACTTCCGTCCATGCCTTAAGATAAGGGAAGACATCAGGATCCAGATTAGTTTGTTACATTTTCTTCATTAGAACATCAAGACAATGTCTTCTGGGTTTCTGATTTAACTCCTTCCAAAATTCCTGGAACAATGACCTGCATCCACACCACGGTTTAATCACTTGTAATTCGGGAAACCTTTTAGTAACACTGTGAGTAAGCCTGAGAAAACTAACCAACAAACAAACAAAATCAAATCGATTATGACCTCCTTGGTGGAAGTAAATAAACACTTTGAATGAGTATCTACTGATTATTTTGTTGTTATCAAAAGCTGATACTCTGCTGAACACTCAACACAGTTCAAGGCTGCTTCCCAGGAACCTCTGCACTGTCAAATGTCAAAACACCTCTAACACCTTTGTCCTAAATGTGCAACTTTCAGTGTGATTTTTTTTGTTAGGTTTATATCAACCATGATGTAAAAAAAATGAAATAAAAATATGTGGTAGATCTCCATCACTTCAGTATTAAAGTTTCTAGAACAATGGTGGCTGTACCATTTCTCCACTGGTGGAGCTTATTGCTCAGAAACACAGAGGAAGTCTCCTGGCATAACCTCCTCTTCTGCATACGTGTCAAAACATCTTTATCTTTTGTTGCCAGAAGCTATACACTGTAACAAAATGTCTTTGGTAACTTTATTGCCTAACACAATACCAGATTAACACAGAGTATGCCAACTCACTTGAATTAACAACATCTACCTTTTAAAAGCTCCTTGTTATCTGGAATAAATAATGCACATGTAGAACTGACAGGCTGCATGAGGTGAGGACTTAAAAGTGTACATCAGACATCAGAGTCCAGACATTTACTCAGCCCTTTACTAGGTCTGACTTTGTTCAGTGTGTTGTGAAGCTACAGGTCACATCATTAGCAAAAAGCAAGCAAACAGGTCAGCCCGGCTCTGGCTGACATGTCAAGCTGCTAATCTATGTCAGGACGTTTCAAGAGTAGATTTTCATTGCATAAATCCCTTCACATCAGAAACAACTATAAATAAAAAGGGACATGTATAAGAAAGCGAGCAGAACAAATCAGGTGTCAGAAATACATCTCAAAAACACCCAAATCCCTCCATCGCCTGTTAATTCCCTCTCTCTGTTCAGATAAGCCTGTTTTACAAACACAGAAATATCTAGCTAAATTAAAAAATTAATCCAAACGCGCCATATTAATTACACGTTTACCTTTTCATTGCCCACTCAATTTGTACTGAAATAGACACACAAGAGTTTGCTCCTGTGTGGATTTTACATCCTTCTGAAAAGCTCAAAGGTTACAAGCTACTTAAACAAATATTTGCACAAGTATTAAAATTAGGTTAAAATGATCTGATTTTTCTAATTAAAAGGAGTCAAGCACTCAAAGTATTACAGACTAATATGACAGCATAACTCACTTAACTTTGTCTTCTTTCCTGTAATGCAGTAAGTATCAGCGAGTGGCCGATCCCTGTGCTCTGTTTGGTTTGACACGCACCTTCTTTAAAGCACTTTTGCCTGTGACCTCACCTCAGTGCTCAACCACTCAGTTTCTCCAACGTCAGCTTGGAAAACCCACATACCGTGGCCCAACAACCACTCAACTACTTTACAGTCTGCGAGAGACAAAGACGAAGCCGACCGCTGGGCTGCGAGGTCTTTAGCGTTACCACGGTAAATGATACCATATGTCAGACTGCGATAACACAGGTTATTACAGAAAAAACCTGCACCATATTATAATTAGCCAAGTATCATTAAACTCAAAGGATAATACCGCCCTCATTACCGATCTCATCAGAACAATTTAGAAAGGAAAACAGTTTACACCTCATCGGTTTATTGTTTACATTTTAATGAGATAAAAATGAACTCAAATGCATTTAGCCCATATGACCCTTTGAGAAATTCAAATATCTGGCAATTAGGATTCTCTCTCACATTGTGACATACACAAAAATCAATATTTCTCCGTTGGCGACTCAAAGAGCCTCCAGAGGGTTCTGAAGATAATAATCTGTGTGTGTAGCAGAGTGATGAAATGACAATAACGATACTGATAAGTTGAATCATGAAAATGCTACGAACAACATAATAAAAATTTAATTAGCGCTCTCTGCTAAATATTGCAAGAGATTAGCGGAGAAGTGAAGTGCTCAAGCCAAAAATATTCTCCAGTGTGAAACGGAGAACCCCAGTGCACCACAGCAAGCGTTCGCATCCAGGATACTACAAACCGTCAACTTCTACTTCTTTAAACTGTCTACAAGCACAAGTCAGCAGTTCTTGGACGTCTACGGTAAACCACAGTTTCTAAATGTGTAGATAGAATCCTCAGGGACAATCTGGTAATTCCAATCAATTGACATGTTGTGATGCCACACGTTTACATTGCCTAGTATGCCCAACAACAACCCCAGACATTTTTTCTTTCATACATAAGCAAGAGCACTGTTCTAGCCAAAAGTGCAAATAAACTTGTTTAACCGCTTGTGGCAAAAAACACACCAGTGAGTACAACCAGGATATAAAGGCATGCATAGAGGAGATACGAGCACCTGGTGGCGTGCAACCCAGTCACAAACAAATGACTGAGCCAAACACTCGCCTGGATGGAAATGACTGCTAAAAATAAAAGCGTTACTTAATTTCTAGGTAAAACATTACGTAGCCTACTTTTATGCTTTCATTTGACTTTTAATGTGTCACTGTTGTTGTACTATAATGCTCCTACTGCTGGTGGCACCCTGTGACAACAGATGCACATTTCGAATTAGGCAGTCTGTCATCGGAAACTACCCTTCATTTTGTTCCCACTAATAAATGCTGTTGCCTGCAAGCTGCAACCACCAATAACACTTTCACTGTTTTTCATACATCTTTATAAATACCGTTATTGAAAATTTTATTTAAATATCATGTTAGAATTTTGAGGCTATATCACCCACCCCTAGTATCATTAGCAGTATTTGGCAATTTCAAAATCTGACGTTCCAGTATGTCAGACAACATTTTTCCCTCCTTTCAGAAACACAAAGAAACAGATTTTCTTAACATTTGATATGCATTTAATTGTTTACAGCTCTGCTAAGATCAGTTGGTTGTTGCGTTCCAAACCCATGTTGCCAACAGGAAGTTGCAGAGTACCCTCTGGTTTAAAAAAATAAAATACTATCACAATATGCATTCTCAACATCTCGAACATGGTTGAAAGTTTCTCACGCGTTTACTTTTTAAAAACATTTTGATTAATCAGCTGTTCTAAATGGTGATGAGCAAAAACCAATCAGCTTTACCATGATCGTTTTTCTAAAATGCATTTATCAATCCCACCCCTGTTAGAGACAGAGGTAGGATTATTCCCCTCTCCCTAAGAGTAACCTTTTAAAAGAAGCCCACTGAACCAGCAGAATATTCGTGTTTCTATCCTTCCATGTGCTGAGGAAAGCCTCTGGATGACACACAGGTTTCACTGCTGAATAAAGCAGGAAAACAGAATTCATGGCATTTTGAGAAGTGTAACTGCAGTGTTAACTTCTTCCTGTCACAGATTTTCACTAAAGAACTCAAGATGAAGCCTGCTTTTGAAATAGATACCTGTATTATTGAAGAGAACAAAAAGATAAAGGAGAAGAGCTTTGGGACCACTACTGGTTCACATGTGCTTTAAAAAAAAAACAAAAGAAAAAAAAAACACCCCACCGCTGTGCATCTTTATAGAACAAGCCCTGTGTTAAACCCAAACCTGGCACAGCTGCAAGTATAAAACCCTTTCATTCAACATGCCAGGAGTACAATGAAAAACATCCAAGCTGAACCTCTCCTGTTATTGTTTATGCTCTTGAATGCAGGTTTCTAATAGCAGGGGTGGCTTTTTATTCATCCCCAGGGTGCATGTTCTCACCATTTTCCCATTTTTTGCGTATCCCACCTTCTTAGACACACAACTATAACCAAACACATCATCAGTGCAGTGTTCCCAGTTCTAAAAACAAAACCTTCATTGTCCACAGAATATCATGTGCTTTGCTATCATTTTTTAGGAGTGAGCTATAATTTTTATTATTAAACCTATTTGGGGGTTACTGGAAGACTGATTATCACTCTGCCCTATTAGTGCTTGCAAGCAACACAAAAAAAAACCAAAAAAAAAACAAAAAAAAAAAACACTTGCTCATCTGCACCCCCCCCCCAACATGCGTTTTGTTCCAGTGTTGTCATCTAACTACTTCTCCAGACTTCCTGCTGCAATTTCAGCATTAATGTATCATATAAACACCTCTGTAATATTTTTTTTCTGACCCCGAGAGCTCTTTCTACATTTTAATTTTTCTTAAAAGAGCCAAGTGCACAGATGAATTCCGTTAAAAATCTGACATAAGGAAAAGCTTGCTCAGATCTATAAAGCATCAAATGCTTGCATTCAAAACAACATGCATTGTGTTTTTGTAATGTGGTACATGTCACTGCATGCAAGGAGCTTTACAGCTTGTTTTTATGTTTATCCATAACGATGAGCAGCTCTATATTGCCACAGCAGAGAGGTAAAATTATCAGTAGGTGTAACAATAATGGGGAAAACACAGAGGCACAACAAAAGCAGGTCAGCTCCCACGATCAGTGCAGCATATAGTGTGACACTTAATATTCAATGTTCAGTCACATTTCATAAACCCCAAACGAGATTTTCAGGGAAAGCTAATCCAGATTATGTCTTAAACTGTACAAGACTTGCATGTAAAGCAGGCCAGACAGCGAGGTAAATACAACAGCATTTAAACTACTCACATTTGCCAAAATAACAGCAATAGCTGATCAAGACATTACTCAAAGCAAACTGTATGTCTCAGTCTCCATATGCATTGGATATACAAGAGTTCCTATAAACTGCATGTGGCAACAACAAGTACTTAGCCTTCAGAAGACGGTAGCAGAGATTAACTGCAGTACAGATCAAGAAGGAGGAAAAAACTTCTTTCTCGGGCCTTAAATGCCAAGAAAAAAAAAGGGGGGGGGAGAAACGCTTTGATGTTTACCAGCTAAAGTTGAGAGGTTTTCGTGTGTCAGCTGACGGCGGAGTTTGCGGTCGCTTAAGCTCAACTCACAGGTTAAGTCCGTGACAACAACACGCTGTCATAATTTGGCTCGGAGCAAGAGGTTTGAGCTGATCCGATGAGGACTCCTGCGCTTGACAAATATGTCTGAAACTGTAACCGCGCCGCGATTAACGCAAACTTGACGCCGCGGTAGGCTGGGCTGTTCCGTCTCACAGGTGCCTCCCCTTTTTTTCCCCCTCTCTCATCCGCCCCTGCCGAGCATTTCCTCACATTTTACTCCTCACAGCACGGATCACGAACGCAACGATTTTTTTTTCTCCTCCACTCCGCAGGAACAACCACAGAAACCGGACGCGGCGCAGTCGACGTCAGCTCGGCATGTGTGTGTGTGTGTGTATAGGCGAGAGGTCTCCCCCCTTTTCAAGCAGACACCCACAAACTGACAGGATAACAAAAAGAAAACATCAACACGTCGTCCGGTTCTGCCCTGTGTCACGGACCCGGCGGTCCTGACACCGAGGGCTCGGTAAACTTGGCAGCCCAAACAAGTAACGACACAAGCTAAAGCAGACAGGAAACTTACCGACGGCTCAACTTACCAGCTGCCGTTTACATCCTGCTCCACACGGCTTATTGGTGCCTCACACCGCGGTGTTAGACCCGACGACGACGCGACGAAACCGCAAAAAAACTGATAACAGCGAACTGCTGGTTATAAATAGTCATGATAACCCTCCGGTGTGTGGCTGAGTGGTCCGTACAAGCCCCAGGAAATACGTCACGGCCGTGAATGTAGCGGAGACGTTAGAGGAAAACTACCGAGCTGCGGCGCTGCTACAGCCCCACCTGCCGGCCACAGGCGGCGTCGCACCCTCATGCCGACACAGAGGCTGTGTCCGGCAGTTGCCAAACACGCTATTGATTCCTAGAGGGGTCATTTATTATAGTGAAAAACACGCAGTGGAGGCCAATCTGTTACGTGTGCGTGACTGTATGCCAATAAAGCTTACTGTAGTTGAGAAAACTGCTGTTGGGCCTATTAATTTACCAGCTTCCTTAACCTTTAAATGGTTGGTAAAAAAAAACAAAACATATTTTATGTCACGGTGCAGATTATGACCTTTTGGCATATGTGGAAAACAACCTATATGTTATCTGAAACAGGTTCACTGCGTTTTAAAAAGCACATTTGCAGCATCTGGTCCAAGCCTGATGGCTATAATTTCCTTTGTTACAGTTTTCTCCACACAAACTCTAATAGTTTGTTTGTTTGTTTGTTTGTTTGTTTGTTTGTTTGTTTGTTTGTTTGTTTTATCTCATGATGCTTCCACTCCCAGAGCCTGGTCCTGTCCAAGGTCTTTTCCTTTTGAAAGGGAGTTTTTCCTTGCCACTTTCACAGGGGCTATCTCATACGGAGTTGTTGGATTATTGGGTTTTTCTCCTGATTACCTTCCAGTGTAAAGGACTTTGATTCTGTTTAAATTCTTCACAATCAATCCCTTTGATGTATACCAGTATAGTAAATTTACATTTACACAGAATCTCAAAGCACACCTGGGTTTGCCTCAAAGCATGCAGGTGACTGGCTTAGACCAAGGAGGACCCCTATCGCCTCACCGTAGGAGGGTCTCCGTGTACCCCAGCTTTCCCCACAGTGCAAAGACATGCATGTTGGGTTAACTGGTGATTCTAAATTGGCTGTAGGTGTGAATGTGAGTGTGTTGTCTGTCTCTGTGGGTCAGCCTTGGGACAGACTGGCGACTTGGCTAGGGAGTACCCCGCCTCTCTTTCCATGATAGCTGGGGTAGGCTCCAACCTAACCCTGAACCAGATAAGTGGAAGTAAATGAATGGATGGAAAACTCATATGTTAATAATACTGACTAGTCCCTGCTTTTCTGTGTCAGATTTAACCCAACTCTAATTAGATGCATGCACCATGTGGGCTGCCCCTGAAGCCAGCGCCTGGTTCCCTTCCATATGGGGACAAACTCAGCACCAGGGTTGCATGTCATTAATTCATCTCTCTCACTACATTTTCTGTCAACTGTCTAATGGAGCATTTTAATAAATTAACACACTACCTCAAAAATAATGGAAAAAAATTAACATAATATCAAGAAAAAATATTAACTATTTTTCAGATTATACAGGACCCAGTTTATTAAACAACCTCCAGCATAAAGCAGGATTTTAAACCTACTCCAGGTCCCGATGGGCAGGCCCATTTCTTAAATCAGAAACCAAATGATAAGCAGTGAACTTGGGGCTCTAGGTTCAGTTTCTCACTTGCCTCTTTCTATCAGCATCCTTCAATAATTTAGTGAGGCCACCTGCAACAGTCTATGGAGCAAACACTTCAAATGCTATTGCATTCATCAAATGTTAAACTGTTGCATAGTTTAAACTATTCAACGGTGCCTCCGCTCAAACCTGTTTCCTTGACTACCCATTTTCCATGAGTGCTTATTCAGCTCACTGGGGGCCTGTCACAGCTGACTCAGGGCAAAAAGAGGGGTAAAACCCAGAGAGATCATCATGTCATCACAGGCAACACAGACACTCACACTTCACATTCACACCCACTCCTAAAAGTTAACACACTGAAGTGAATATTCAGACAATTTGCAGTTTTAGACTTTAAAGTCTCAAATCATGACAGCTAAAAGGTTGTAGCAATGGCTAACTGAGGCTACATCTTTTAATTACTGACTTACTGAAAGTGATCAGTTCAGTAATACAATAAAAAAACAGAAATGTTCATTTTTATCCCTTATCTCTTTTTAACTTATTTATTTTTATTGATAAGTTAAAACAATAACATATTCTGCAGATTTTAGAGTATTTGTTTGTTTGTTTGTTTTTTGTTGTTTGTTTAGAGAAATGAAAGAAATTGAGTTTGTCTTGCAAAGCTTATACAAGATTCATAAATGACGTGATTGCATTTTTGTCCAGAGACGGTAAGCTGGGCACACTCAAAGGCCATATCCTGCGGTATTGAAGGATTCTTCCATCAAATATGCAGCATTTCATAAAATGAAATGAAATCCTGCTGTAGGGGGGGAAAAATCTTTTAAGCGCACTGAAAGCTCTATTTTCACTGACACAGTGCCCGTGTTATAGTGTGCAGTTGTGCCTTGCTACCTTTTGAGAAGCAGCCAGCATTCTGACAGGATTGAGAATCTATTATTATGCAGCTATAGTCGGGGTAATTGATAGGGGAAGAGAATCATGGTGGGCAGAGTCTGCAGGCTTCATCTCTGTCGTGGTCCCTGTGGTTTCCACTTCTTGTGCCTTCTGTGTTCCACTTTCTTTGTTATCATGTTTTCTTTCAGTCTTAATTCTCAGCGTTAGCTATTACCTATTTGTGGTGACAGCCTCTTTTACTTTGAAAGTTAGTTTTTTCATGTGACTTGTTTTTTTGGCTTTGTTTCCTGTTTTTTCAACTGAAAAGGCATATAGACATGATCAAAGTGAAGTTGAAACTGAACATCAGAATTGAGAAGAAAGCTTTGAATGTGGCGTGGTTGTTGGTGTCAGACAGGGTCGTCCGAGTATTTCAGAAACTGCTGATCTACTGGAATTTTTCCCACACACAAAATATCCAGCAGATCAGCAGTTCTTTGGGTGAAAAGGCCTTGTTGATGTAAGAGGTCAGAGGTCAGACTGCTTTGAGTTGATAGGAAGGCAACAGTAAAGCTTGATTTTGACTTCTGTGTGAAATCTACGCCCTAATTTATGTAGTAACCGAAAAACTCCTTTTACCCCTGCGCGCAACCTTCCACGCCATTCAGACTGTTGTGGAATGCCTTGACCCGACGTGTAGTTACATTTCTCAGGAGGTGCACGTCAGGTTACATAGAAGGTTGCAGTGTAGGGTTAAAATGAAGTTGCGGTTATGGCCCAAGTTATGACGTAGATCTGATGCGGAAGTATAATCCATGTGTAACTCAAATGAGTGCAGAAGAGCACACATTGGTTTCAGCAGCAGAAGACCACACCACATGCCAATCCTGTCAGCTAAGATGCGAAAACTAAGACTGCAAATGTACACCGGCTCACTGAAACTAGACAATAGAAGATGTGAAAAACATTGCCTGGTACAATGAGTACTGATTTCTGCTGCATTATTCAGATGGTAGGGTAAGAATTTGGAGTAAATAGCATGAACGCATTGAACGAATCTGCCTTGTGTCAACTGTTCAGGCTGCTGGTGACGTGGTAATGGTGTGGTGAAAATTTTCTTGGCTCACTTTAGGTTCCATAGTTCTAGCTGAGCATTGTGTAAACACCACAGGCTTACCCCTTTATGACTGCAGTTTATCCATCGTCTAATGGCTGCTTTGGGCCATGTCACAAAGCTCAAATCATCTCAAAGTGCTTTCTTGAACATGGCAAGAGTTCACTGTACTCAAATGGCCTCCACAGTGACCAGATCTCTATTCAGTAGAGCACATTTAGGATGTGATGAAACAGGAGATTCAGATCATGGATGTGCAACCAACAGATTTGCAGCAAGTCCAACCCAGTAGCAGCATACAGAGCCTAATAAATTGTCTGATGAGTGTATAGACCACGGTGTATTAATGAAATATCTCAAATTTCTGAAAGTCTTATCCTCTGTCAAACATTAATTATTGCAGCGAGATTGTTCTAACAAAAGAACATTACAGACAAAACACCTACATAAACTCATTTATATTCTGCCAAGCTGATAACCCGCATAAGAGAGAAACATGTGCAGCCAAGCACAATCAAGAGCAATGCAAGTTAAAGGAATAGCACGCAGACGAAACAGAACAGTTCAAATTATTTATTTGAAGTACAAATATGATGATACCAGGTCAAAGGGACAATTAAATGTTCTTCCAGTCTTTTAAATAAGTTGCCACAAGAAGAGGTGCAAAGCCAGTGAGCATAAAGTGAAGATGTCTTTGTTCAGGGCTGCTGGAGCCAAGTTTCTTCCTGTGGAAGAAGGAGAACAGAATACATCATGAACAAAAACACAAATCTTATTCAGTGCTTATCAGAAACAAGTATCATGCAGAGTGGCTTTAACAGACTAAATATGGGGGAGGTTATCAGTTGTATTGTTTCTAAAGACACCCGCCTCTCAGCTCCAGCAGAACATCTCCTTCGTATTGAGCTAATCCAACAGCATGTCTCTGTTCCTTGTCCAGCTCTGCCCACTGCTCCTCAGTGACAGCCCACGCCTGCTCCACACTCAACCATGACAACTGAACTGCACTAAACACCACCTGTCAGGCGCACACCCAACACAAAAAAATATATATTTTTCATTTCCAGGAATGCAGACATTACATGGCATCAGGTTTTCTTTGATTTGACATTTCTCAGTTATTTCCAGAGTTGCACATTTTTATGGCGAGTTCAGTAATTTGTATATAAATAAAATGTTATATTATGTGTATTACAGCAAAAAAAACTATCCTGTTCTGTTTATCTGTCCAATTAAAAATCACAGACAAACCCTTTTGAGGCCCACTGTAATTTAGTGCATTATTTATGATATTTACTTATTTAATATTCATTTGATGAAAATCACAAGCTTAAAAAAATGTTTTTCATCATTTTCAAAAAGATAAAAGAGAATGACTGAATATGTAGTCATGTGAAAAAGAGAGAGCTCTTGGCTATGCATGTCCTTAAAATGATTGTCTCAGATACATAGATGTCTCCAGCTGTAAGCAAGGAAATCACTGCCCACCTGCTCTGCAGACCTTCTGTTTGCAGAGGGCACTCAATCAGAAGAGAGCTGACTTAAAGGGAAATGACCTAAGACTGCTTGCTTCACCAAGGGCCAGAATAAAAAACATAAGGATTATTTTAATCTGTGAATCATGCAAAGCTACTCTACTGGATCTAAGAATAAA